ATAGCAAAAACTTTTGTCAATAGAATAGTGTCCATATTTGGAACACCTTTACAGCTCCATACCGATCAAGGTACGAGTTTTGAGTCTACAGTTTTCAAGCAAGTGTGCACCTTGCTAGGAATTCAGAAAACTAGAACAACTCCCCTGCATCCCCAATCTGATGGAATGGTCGAAAGAGGAAATCGAACCATAAACCACATGTCAGCTTTTGTTTCAGAAAATCAAAGAGACTGGGATGGACATATATACTTATTAATGTTAGCCTACAGATCATCAGTGCATGAAACGACTAAAGTTACCCCAATGAAATGATGTGTGGTCGACAAGTCACCTTGCCTATAGAATTGCTATATGGTACTCCTATAGTAGATAGCAATCTTCCAGACTATAGCGAAGAATATGCGTTTCAACTCCAGCAACGAATAGAGAAAATTCATCAATTTGCGAGAGAAAACCTCCAACTATCTTCAGAGAACATGAAGCGGCGTTACGACAAACAGTCAAATATATTACAACTAGAACCTAATGCGTTAGTATGGCTTTTCAACCCCAAAAGGTCTAAGGGCCTCAGTCCCAAACTACAATGTAAATGGGAGGGTCCCTACATCATCATACAAAAATTGAATGATGTCATTTTCAAAATCCAGAAAAACAAACACTCAAAGGCCAAGATTATACATCATGATCGCCTCAAACCCTATGCAAACAACAAACAGTAGAATGACAACTCAGAAAAATATATACATATACAAACAACATTAAAGTTTAATATCAACACCAATTATACACCAAATGAGCGCAGAGCTGCATCATCTTGTATCCATCATCCAAAGTAAATATATTTATAATTTATAATCTAGTAACTATAATTTCTTCAAGATACCTTATATATAAAATTGCAGGTTACCATGTTCCACTGTACGGAGTGCCCTGAGTTATCTTTTGAGCGGCGGAGTTTATGCGAGCGGCACGTGTTTGAGAAACACAGCGGCTTTGGGTATCAATGTGCCATTTGCCTGAAGGTCTTCAATGGACCTGACAATCACTCAGGGAGATGCGTGGGCAATGAACTTCTGCTGAGGAAGAAATCAACCAAGACTTTCACAGCAGAGGAGGCAGAAGAACACCGAAAGTTTATGAAAAGTTTGAGTCAGAAGATTTTTGTGAAGAAGGAAGACCTACGGCGAACAGCGTCAGAACGCCACCAAATTCAGCAGAACAACAGAAAAAGATCACATCAGAGAAGTTTGAGTAACACACAGGAGGAGAAAGAGAATCAACAAATCAAAAAGCGAACTAGATCTGAAGATACTAGAAGAGTCATGGAGAAGGATTCAAGAGATAAGGTGAAGCCAGCTCGACCATCAGCTCTGCAAGACCAGACCAGTAACAACACCAATCAGGAGCCTGAGATAAGATCACTGCAGGAGAAGGCACCAGCAGTGGAAACCTCAAGACCAGAAGATGACTGTCTTTCGCTTTATGCCGGGGAGTTTTCAGACACTGAAATACAGGAGGCGTTTGAAGAGATTGTGCAAGCGATGCCCAGACTTGACAATGAAGTGACCTTTCCCCCATTGAAGAAAATATCATCAGCCCCTTCAACACCAGATCATGCTAACCTACCATCAACTTCTGCTTCTTGTTCCACTTCTTCCTCTCAAACTAACCCGCAAGATTCCACCTACTCACCAACACAGAAAGAGAACAGGGTTATAACAGCGCCTAATTATATTGCAACTCCTAAAACAGACGAAAGAATGAAAAGGGTTAAAGAATCGCAGAGGAAAAGGTTAATATTAAATATAGGAGGCAGGCGATTTGAGACATCCGTTTCTACACTGATGACAAAACCTCAGGCTCTACTAGCCAGGATGATTTCGCCATCGGGCATCAAGCCCTACAGTGTGGACAATGTTTATACCTACTTTATAGATAGAAATCCTATTAACTTCTCTGTCATATTAGATTACTTGAGGAATGGGGGAGACCTACCACTGGATGCAATTCCAAACGATATCAGAACTCTGCGAGAGATCACTCTGGAAGCCAAGTTCTACGAACTCAAGCATTTGGAACTTCTAAGTGAGAAGAAAATTATGGAGCTGAAAAGTGAAGAATTAAGTAGCCAACTCGCCACCCTGAACAAAATGTGATTTAGACATTTGAGGGCAAATGTTTTAAAAGGTGGGGCAGTGTAATGGACCTGTGGTGGCACAGTATTTACTTAATTATTTATCTATTTATATTATTAGTGGCCTAGTATTTATTTATCTATTTATTTATTTATTTATTATTAATGTTACTGTATATATATAATTATTTATTTATTGTTGATGTTGTTACAATATTTATTGCAAATATTTAAAGGATTATTCCTGATACATAAATTATGTATTATCGTCTGTGTCGATGTCTTCTTTAGTGCTGTACTGTACTACAGTGAATGTATACAAGGATTGAATAATTCTTGTATCCAGCAAGAAATACAACCCCAAGATGATTTAACAATTAGTTAGAGGGGCAGAGACAACTATTTATCAACTTTGTCCATCAGCAACTTGTGTTATATAGAATTACTATAATTATTACTATTACTATAATCGCTAAGCTGACAGCCAGCTATAGTTATGTCAACACGTGCTCAGCACATCGTCACCTCGGAGAGATGATTCAGCTTTAAATATCACTTACTATGATTTATAGACTTAATAAACAGACTTACGTATTACTTACGTATGAAGGTTAAGACATCGTTAAATACTTTGTATAAGCTGCATCAGTCGTAATCTCTAGGCAGAATTCAGCAGTGTTTTCATTCCCAGACGCCATCTTCCTTCATGAATAATAATAAAGGGTCACCAATCGAAACTTCTCGGGCCTTACCGACAAGTGGAAAAACAACCTCGAATGTGTTACGTAGGCGTCCATGACAACCCCCCTAAACTTTGAAATAAATGTAGGGAGACTTCTTATCTGTAGAGTTTGGAGCTCAACTTTATTGAATGTAAAGATATTACCTAAAATATACTACAGGAGTGACTTCTAACTGTGTCTTTCCAATGCTTTAATAAATAGGAAGCGACCCCACCTTGTATAAATTTTTAACATCCGGTGATGTTAATACATTCGAGGTTGTTTTTCCGACCTCCAACGGAAAGACCCGAGATGATGCGATTGAAAGGGTCACGTGATAAACACTATATAAGGCCGATCCCTACCTGAAATCATCACTTCGGTCACATAGCAAAATGAGTCAGCAGCAACTTTTCCAGCCAGACCATCCGGTTCCGAAGGTGAATATTTTTCACCTTCTCTATTAGTTACATAGATTTGAACATAGGTTCCATTCATGATCTATTGATGTTTAGTAGGAACACCATCACCACCTTCTGTATCATATTCAGTATCCCTACTCACCTTCCTTAGAAGGTGCAACTAGAGAGAGTTCAACACCTTCCATCACCTTCTACTAGAAATAAAACTGCAATTATATAGTCTGTATATTATCTACACTATATGTACCTTGGTTAGGTACCATATTTGAGTACACCTTCAGTTGATAGGTCACCTTCTACACCTTCTCTGTACCAAATGTACCTTCTAGTTATCAACAGAAATTATCACCTTCCCAGAACTTCTACACCTTCTTATGAATAGCCAGGCAGCAACCCGAGAAAATATCAATACCTAAGGACCTGAACCACATTAAAGAGCGCGTTTGACTCTGTGCTTTTAAACTTAATAAATTCATAGATATTTTTAATCATCTTTGTCATTACTTGATTTCTGACAGGTACAGGAGGGCTCACAAACTTTGAAACGTCTGCAACCTTTACTCATAAAAAAGTGGGTCATTATAATACTACTGGTTTCAGCAGGTGTATGCTTTTCAATATATATATATATATATATATATATATATATATATATATATATATATATATATATATATATATATATATATATATATATATATATATATATATAGGCGTATGCTTTATCAATAGCACTTCCTGTTTTGACTCAATCCCTCGCTTCAAGATGTAGATTTATCGAAACTTCTATTTGCGAAAGTTCTGCGTTATCAAATGAATGATAATGAGCAAAAATATTCGTTAAAAACATGAAAAGACTCATTAAAGCTCAATGTAATGTCAAATTTTCTAAATGTATCGCACTGGCTACTGCGATGACAGATTTGAATCCCCCCAATCGTTCTCATAGGAAACATTAGGCCTAGCAGTTAAGTAGTTGGAGGAAGATTTCTTTGACCATGCAGGAATGTCTAGCCACTTTCAACATGTTTTCTTACATCAAAAATATGGAGATAACTAACAGTATTCAAGCTCAATAGTCCATTAAACAATATAAATTTTGGAGCAGAGCAAACACGGACTTCTAAAACATCAAAGGTGGGATCAAGTGCCATGGAGGAGTGAGCATCCCCTGCCGACCGGTCACACCCGCTCTCATGATCGGGAAATAACGGAAAAATCCGTTCGACAATTCAGCGTGTAAATAATGGTCTAACAATTAGTATGAAAAACGTCAGTCGGCATATGACTTAATGAGAAATTGTATTTGCTAACAAGAACATTGTATCGACCATAGAACTTACGAAATGACGACTTCAAACGAGACTGCTGATATTCTTGTTTCATCAACTTGTTTGTCAATTATTTACCTAATTTTAGAAATTAAGTACCGAGGAATTATGAATCCTTCTCTGAAATCATTCCGTGTACGGCAACAATTCTAGGCTACTTGTAGATCCATGGTAAGTTATATAGTATCCTGACGGTTAATGTTCAAAAGAAGAGTTTTCGGGGGTTAAGGGAATATTATTCTAAATAGTGATGGGTGATTGGGAAAGCATGCTTTCAGAGCTAAATAAGTTAATTGGCAGAGCAAAAGTGATTAAAAGAAACCCAAGTATAATACTAACAAGTTGTATACAAAGGAGTGTACCAATAATAAAGTTTACCCTTATCTTGAAGGATGGCATGGCAATAATTGTGATGAAGATATCGACGAATGTGCTACTCGACAGTTTTGTGGTCACGGTACCTGTACAAACACAGCTGGTAGTTTCCATTGTACCTGTCCTTCCTCTGTTCACGGTCTGAAATGTCAACTTGATGAGGATGAATGTCTTCTGGAGCCATGTAATGGTGGAGAATGTGTCAACAAGGTCGGGAGTTACGAGTGTCAATGTAGAACTGGAACAACTGGTAGAAACTGTGAGTCGTTGACTGCTCAACAGTGTAACAACAATACGTGTAATAATCATGGACATTGTCATGTTAACCATGGTAATACCTTGTGTACGTGCAACAATGAATATACAGGTCCTGACTGTTCCATAAGAAACTCATGTGCTCATAATCAGTGTCAGAATGGTGCTACATGTGTGATATTTGGGACAAATTACACTTGTCATTGTTCCAAAGGCTTTACGGAAGAACTTTGTGAAAAAATTGATTATTGTGCTACGGATCCCTGTAAAAATTCTGGATCTTGTACTAATACCGCGTCTGGATATAACTGTTCATGCATTGATCATTTCATGGGTCAAAACTGTAGCACTTACGATTATTGTTTTGGACAGAACTGTAATAACCGAGGGAAATGTCAAAATAGACCGAACGGTTACACTTGTCAGTGTAGGTTGCAATATCTTGGTAAAAACTGTGAGCAAAATAATTATTGTCAAAGCAATCCATGCAAACACGGGAAATGTTCAAATTCAAACACTGGTTACACTTGTTCTTGTATTCATGGGTTTACCGGAATAAAGTGTGACAAAATTGATTACTGTAACGGAAAGAACTGTAATGGACACGGACGTTGTCAGAACGGTCAGCACAATTACACTTGTAACTGTAATCCTGGTTTTCTAGGAAGGCACTGTGAGTACGATTATTGCTTCAATAATACCTGTAAAAATGGTGCTACTTGTCATAGCACTAATTCTAATTATATATGCTCGTGTCCACCCATATATACAGGAACTTTTTGTGAAATGAGAGATTTTTGCCACGGACAAACATGTAGCAGCCATGGTACATGTCATAATGGACAAAGTAGGTACACTTGTTCTTGTCAGCCTGATTACAGAGGAAATGATTGTGAACTGAAAAATTACTGCCATAGCAATCCATGTAGACATGGAAATTGTACCAACACTAATACAGGATATAAGTGTTCTTGTAATGAAGGGTATCTAGGAAAGAACTGTGACGCAATAGATTACTGTTATAACAAGCACTGCTCTAACCATGGTACTTGTAACATCAGAGGGAATAGTTACATCTGTACCTGTATTAATGGATTTATAGGAAAAGACTGTCAGACACGGAATTATTGCTATAACAAGCATTGTTCTAACCACGGAACCTGTCAAAACGGACCTTCTTTCTACACGTGTCAATGTATGGCTGGGTACCTGGGTAAAGACTGTGAGCAAACTTACTGTTCTCATCATCAATGTCGGAATGGAGCGTCTTGTGTTAATGGTAACTCTAACTATACGTGTAAATGTGTGCCAGGGTATGAAGGTTTGTACTGCGAAATACGTGATAACTGCCATCAGAATTGTAGTACAGGTGAATGTGTCAATGCTAACGGAAGTTATACATGTAACTGTGCAAATGGAACAACTGGTACGAACTGTGAATCACTGGTTGCAAACCAGTGTCACAATGGTACGTGTAATAATCATGGACAATGCCGTGTTTATCAAAGAAAGGCCATATGTACATGTAACGAGGGACATACCGGTCCTGACTGTTCCATTTTTAATCCATGTGCTCACAACCAGTGTCAGAATGGTGCTACGTGTGTGATATCTGGAACAAATTACACATGTCATTGCGCTAACGGCTTTAGAGGAAACATTTGTGATAAAGTTGATTATTGTGCAACGACTTCCTGCAGAAATTCTGGATCTTGTACTAATACCAATTCTGGATATAATTGTTCATGCACTGATCATTTCATGGGACAGAACTGTAGCATTCACAATTACTGCTTTGGACAAAAATGTAGTAACCGAGGGGAGTGTGTCAACGTCAACAATATCGGGGCTTACCAATGTCAGTGTAGGAATGGAACAACTGGTAAAAACTGTGAAACATTGACTGCACATCAGTGTCAGGGACATGTGTGTCAAAATAATGGAACATGTCATGTTAAAGAAGGAAAAGCCGTGTGTATTTGCAACTATGGATATAGTGGACTAAACTGTTCCATAAAACACTCGTGTGATTCAAATCAGTGTCGGAATGCTGCTTTATGTGTGATGGCTGGAATGGCTTTGTTCCATTCTGCATACTTTTTAATTCTATTTTCAATTTTGCTTTAATCATAATCATGATGGCCTCTATAGAAACTGACATGAGCTACACTTTGTGTATGACGAACCATAAAAAGATGAAAACCGTATAATCAGATTTTTTTGTATAGAGAGTATATATAACTATACAATTTACAACTGCATACTTCTTGTAAAATATTAAATCGAGTATTTTATGAATGCATCATTTATTTCAAATATGGTACATGGTGCATAAATTAGATAATCTTACGCCTGATTTAACAACGGGGATTAGTCGGCCTACTATATACATGAAAATAGAAGAGATGAATCTAAATCTGGTACCACTGCAAAGGATCTAATTTGTTTGTAGTTTTCTAGGATTACCTCTTGATCAAGAATTTATTCTTTAATACTAATAATGCCTACAGTGAAACACAGATGTCTAGTACATGACCACATTTTGATGTTCTCTCTTTTTCGGTATCCTAGAATTCTCGAGTAACTTAGTACAGCAGCCCCTGTGACTTAATCCGTCAATTGATGATTGCTTTCTGTTTAAGGGGAAAATAACTCGCGGTGTTAATATTCGCTATATTCACGGTGTTAATAAATCCGTGAATTCAAGAAACAGTGAATAAGTTTTAAGTATTAGACCTCAATGTTTTATTTGGAAATTTGAAAATAGACAGTGTACGACAGGTATATGTACATGTACACGGTCATTCAGTAATAACGAGTAGTTCTTGTCATTAAATTATCTTAATTATCACATTTTACTTTAATTCAAATAAGCAGCTAATAACCTGTATTTATTGTTAAAAAGCTGTTTTAATAGATACATGTTTTATCAATCAAAACACACGGGTCATGGGTTTTGATTACCCGTGCATAACGTTACCACGTGCATTTGTTACCTGCATTAGCATTATGAGTACTAGTTGTTATGGAAATTTTGGTTTTAAAAAATATTATTCGAATGACTATCGAATTTGCTGAAGATATGGAAGGATATTATTACGTCTACCTACATTAATACATTTACTAGCGTCCAGTGTTTTTTTTTCCGTTGCGATGTGTATACCTTCGGAAAGATGTGTACACATGCACTCATCGTAAAAGCATATAGGAATGTCATTTGACGTTTATAGTCAAAAAAGTTTAATAACGGCACTTCTATTGATTAATCATCAATTAACTACTAAATCTAATCATTTTTTATAAACCTACCCTGTTCGTGAAGTGAATACATAACGCTGATAAATGTCGTTCTTGCTATACTAGCTATGGATTACACGGATAAAGACAAGGGAGGTGACTTTTATTATATACAAATTCCGCGAATTCAACAAACCGCGATCGTGTCCGAGGAGAGAAAAACGTGAAAATTACAACCCGTGAAATTATTCCCCTATACAGTATCTTTTAGTGAGGTATGAAATAAAAACATATGTAAATAGTTCGCTCAAATTAACCTAAAGATAATAGATTAGAGTTTCAATTCTAGACCACGGTGATAACGGTCAACCTATCATCTTAACAGACTAATTTATATGCAGCCAGCTGTCAAGTAAACCGAAAATATTGTCTACCTGTATTAAAGTTTGTTTAGATCACTGTTAGTTATCTTCACCTTTTTCATTTCAGCCAAATTCTATCTTATTTAAAAATGAAGAATTGTAAAATCACAAATTTTCTAGGGATCAAATTTCATGGTTTGAGGGAAGAAATTGGTTCGCGGGGAATTGATTTTATGGTTGACATGTTGAGTTCTTTTAATTTTAAATTTTAGTTTTCGTAAAGTACGTGAATTTGTTGGACTCTTCATACCATAAAAACCGTTCACGGTAGCTCAGTCGGTAAAGCACTTGCTCCGTCATCGGGAGGTCGTGAGTTTGAATCTCGGCCGCGACTGACCTAAGTCGATAAAAAATGGGTAGCAACTGTTCCTTCGCCATGCGCTCGGCACTTTGAAGTGAAAGTTGTGGGTCCTTCGGATGAGACCTTAAAAACCGAGGCCCCGTGTCATGGAAGACGTTGGCACGATAAAGATTCCTCACTGCTCAAAGGCCCTGAGTGCCAAGTAAAGGTCAAAATTTGAAGTCCTTCACCGGTATATGGTGGCGTCACTATATGAGTGAAAAATTCTCGAATGGGACGTAAAACAACATACAATCAATCAATCATACCATGAAATCAACGAAATTTTACACACACGATACTAAGTGACATCGAAGTACATGCCAAAAAATATAGATCTTACAAAAAGCAGCATACCAACATTTATAGCGTTTAGTGTTTTAACTCATAAAAATATACAGTCAAGGTCCAGAAATGTCTGTATGAGAAAGAAAATTCGGGAATTACATGCATTTTGCCTTGGACATGTTTTGACGTGAAACTCAAATTTACAATCACAATATAAATGTTAAGAACTTTTCTTTTAAGTATGAAGTAACAAAAAACATCATGTTGGAGAACAAAAATGATCATTCCCACCAATATATTCGAATACTGGTTTACTGAAGGTTTAAGAAATCGTAAAACATTAGCTTCTACAATATCCTTTAAAAAGGGAATGATAATTTTCAGTACCGACGAATTTTTTTTTCTTCTAAGATATGTCCTCTCTAAAAGCATTACACATTCAAATGTCTATTGCTATATTTTAGTGTATAAATGACAATTTTGAGTCGCCCGCGTGGCGCAGTGGTTAGAGCTTCTAGTCTAGAGTCGCGGAGTAAGGAGTTGATCCTTACGTCGCGGGTTCGAATCCCACTGTGGGACGTGGAGATCGGTCCTTCGGATGAGACAGTATAAACCGAGGTCCCGTGTCGCAGTAGGTGCTGGTACGAAAAAGATCCCTCATTGCTCAATGGCCGTAAGTGCCGAGTATAGGACAAAATTTGCAGCTCTCCACCGGCAAGTGGTGGCGTCTCCATATGAGTGAAAAATTCTCGAGAGAGACGTTAAACAACATACAAACAACACAAACAAAACAATTTTGAGACTTTTTTGTTAATTACCGAAACTGAACTACTGTAACATTTAAGTAAAGCGTTATCGAAACGTCAACTTGATGTCGAGGAACGTGCTACTAACGTTTAACATTTACAAACTACTAGCATTTACAATTTTCACTACATCGTTCAATGTCAATTGAGTAAACCTTTATTTTTCTTAATAAATTCTATTTCTTTTTGTTCAAAAAGAGAAAAATGGAACATGATCAAAAATTGTACACATTTGTATCATCCAATATCAAAATGGAAAGGAAGTTTGAAATCTTGATGCAAAACTACATCATAAAAAGTAAAAATTTTCGAGGCATTCTCTTTTAACCTTATTATTGTTTTTTTTCGGATGAATTATAGAGACTGTACTTTGTTTTAAACATGATGAAATTTATACTTGCAACCGTAAGTACGTCAATGAAATACGTACGTTAGTACATGCAATGAGCCCAAATATGTGTTCTTTAAAGGCAGCCTATGCAAAGTGATAGTACTTACATTTTCTTTTTTGTCGAGAGAAAAATAGCCCAGAGTGTTCCTTAATATTTACCAAAAGCAGAATTCTACCACATTCTTGATATACTTTCTTTAAAATTTTATACTTTAGTTTTCAATTTAAGAATTATTTAGAGTATTTCAAATAATAGTTTTTATATCATTTCTCATAAATCACCATAATCCACACCTGAACTGTAAGAAGGCTTTCTTCATCCAGAGTTGTTCACGCTACGTAGTACAAGATTCTTGTACAAGTTTTCAACAGTGAAAAATTGTAAAGAAAATCGTTATCACTTATTATGATTATGGATGGAGATGACGATTTATTATTTATTTTTAAATCTTTCATTCCTTAATATTTTTTTCGATGTTTACGTGGAACTAATTTGCGGAGAATAAAATCTTTAAGAAAATCATTTCAAGGGATAAAAGATTAAATGAAATCAATCATTTTACTGATGAATAATATCATTATATAACGATTTATCAAAATTTGATTTCTTTTTTCAATTTTAAAATATTTGCCAAGTTCTTTTGCAAGCTTTGACAATGATATGACAGCGTAGATAGAACGTGGATAGAGAATGGTAAGCACGATGATTACTAAAGTCTTGTAATGGAGCAAAGTTCAAGATAATATTATAGAATCAGTGTGGGTTTAAAATGTATGTAAAATCCCTAAAAGAAACTAGAGCAAAAATTACATTTTACAACCATAGAATGGTCAATGGAAAGCTTTAAACAGTCGTGTGAAAGGCAAAAAAGTAAGTATATAGTTTTTAATTTGCTTAATTTTGTTTCTGAGGATTATTGATGACTTCATCTTTGCATACATCGATGATTTTCTGAAGTGATGATGGTCTTGGCAAAAATAGTTTTTACTTGAAATAAATGATTTTAACAAGATCATTTAGTAAATCTAGGATGAAGTTTATTCTATGAGAGTGGCAAAATTACTTAATTTAACAAAAACATGTCATTACATATTTTATCAATTGAACACTTTTTTTTCTGAATCGTCATTTCATATTTTTACTCCATTGCAGAAATATAAAGGTTGAATACTCCGTATATTAGACTGCTATGTCAGCTTCCAACAAGGAAATACGATGAAATTTTCGACTCATTATTACGAGTTGATGGTATCAACTCATGTTATGTTATGTATCGAAACTATTCACATTTTCATTAGAGTACTTTGCTTACAGGTTCTTGTATAATATTGGTTTATTTACAATTTTCATAATCTACAGAACAAGAATATGTTTCCTGATATGCTTTGAAGTGTTTATAAACTTATATATTTATTATTGATTTTAATGGAATCGGTGTCTATCCGTTAGAGAACATAGTGTTAGAGACATGCGGTCAACAAAAGTGACATGTCGTGCAAACAAAGTTTTGATTTATAAATCAATAAATGTTTTATATAATAAGAAGTATTTTGAAAACAGATTTTTAAAGAAAATTCACAAAATTGAACATGGTACAAACCAGATTATTTTTACAAGATTGACGTGCTGGTGGTATATAAATAGACTAATATTCTTGCGCTGTTATGCTAATGCATGAACAGAGCAGTTTTCCCGCGCTAGTAATGAATCGTTCAACACAGAGAGTTTGTAAACAAAGCAAGGAGTTTGCAGTAAAGAAGATCGAAGTAAACCAATTACTAATCTCAAATGGAAGAAATGAGCTGTACCAGTTGAAAAAAAAACAATTTTGAAATTAAAGTTCTTATTTCTTGTGCAAGCAATAAAAGATTTCGATTGCTTAAAGGGTTAGATTTTTTCATCAGCGGAGAACTTTGTGTTCCAATTTCCTTTTCCCTGTAAAAAACACTGTTGAGATTCCTGTCATCCACAATCTACATCTGTTTCATAGCAAGCTTTAAATACAGCAATGGTCACTTACTACGCCTGTGATTCTTATCTCATTAATTGTCGGCACTACACTGGAAAGTGGTTTCCTTTAATATGTCCAGCTGTGTTTTGGCTATCAGATGCTGACCATGTGATAAAGTGAATTAGTACTGTGAAGGCAATAAATAAAAACATAAACAAAAAAATCAAGCGGGGTGTTATTGATAAATTAAATGTAAAATGCATATTTATAAATGTGAAGAGATTAAGAAATCAAATTAATTCAAGAGTAGATAGATCATGTAAATAGTCAATATCTTGTCATTGTGATGAATTTAAAGTCTTAATTCAGTCGAAAAGCCGAAAGAATTGAAACATTAAACGTGCATACATGTATCAATGAAAGTCAAGTAGTTGAATTTCAAGAAAGGCTAAACCGAGAGAAATTATGTATAAAATATGCATACAAATTAAAGTGAAGTAGTTATATTTAATTCAAGAGTGACTAAACCAAACGAAATGAAATATAAAATGCTCATTTCAGTTAAAAGTCAAGAAGTTGAATTTCAAGAGTAGCTTAATCAAGATAATTAAAATATTTATTGTCCATATCAATGATCATAAAAGACAGGGTGCTGAATATCAAGAGTGGCTAAATCAAAAAAAGAGGTCCATGGGCCACAGTGCTCACCTGAGTAACTTTGGCCTTGCTGTTTTTCACCTGATTTCTCTCATCGCCCCCCCCCCCCGTAGTACTTATTGTGGCCCCGCCCTACCCCCAAGGGTCATGATTTGAACAATTGGAATTTACACTACCCCAGGATGCTTCCACATAAGTTTCAGACCTTCTGGCCCAGTTGTTCTTGCAAAGAAGATTTTAAAAAAAATTCTGCATATTTCAATGTAAAACTTGGATTCCCTATTGTGGCCCGCCCTACCCCGGGGGTCATGATTTGAACAATTTAGAATCTACACTACCCAAGGATGCTTCCACATAAGTTTCAGCCTTTCTGGCCCACTGGTTCTTGAGAAGAAGATTTTTAAAAATTTTTACTACATATTTCAATGTTAAACTTGGATTCCATATTATGGCCCCGCCCTACCCCCGGGGTCATGATTTGAACAATTTAGAATCTACACTACCCCAGAATGCTTCCACATAAGTTTCAGCTTCTCTGGCCCAGTGGTTCTTGAGAAGATTTTTAAGATTTTTACTATATATTTCAATGTTAAACTTGGATTCCCTATTGTGGCCCCGCCCTACCCCCGGGGTCATGATTTGAACAATTTAGAATCTACACTACCCCAGAATGCTTCCACATAAGTTTCAGCTTCTCTGGCCCAGTGGTTCTTGAGAAGATTTTTTAAGATTTTTACTATATATTTCAATGTTAAACTTGGATTCCCTATTGTGGCCCCTCCCTACCCCCGGGGGTCATGAATTGAACAATTTAGAATCTACACTACCCAAGGATGCTTCCACATAAGTTTCAGCCTTTCTGGCCCACTGGTTCTTGAGAAAAAGATTTTTTAATGACCCCACCTAATTTTTGTATTATCTTGATTATCTCCCCTTTGATAGGGACTTGGCACTTCATTTTTACAATTTAAACTCCCCTTTACCCAAGGATACTTTGTATCAAGTTTGTTTAAAATTGACCCAGTGGTTCTTGAGAAGAAGTCAAAAATGTGAAAAGTTTACAGACGGACGGACGGACGACGGACAACGGGTGATCAGAAACGAGCTTCAGCTTAGGTGAGCTAAAAATTGAATTATAATATGTGTATGTAAATTTTGAAAGACAAGGAGTTGAATTTCAATAGTAACTAAATCAAGAAGATTGAATTATCTAATATACATATAAATGAAAGTAAAATATATGAATTTTAAGACTGGCTTATCACGAGAATTGGAGTATATTGATGTGCATTGAAAATGTAAAATTGTTTGTCAATTTAAGAAAGCAGTGAAAATATTCAATGAACATGTTAATGAAATAATTCAATTTGCGTTATTTGTAAATAATAATTCCCTACTTGTAATACTATTGTAGGTTTGGCCTGTTAGTTTGAAATATGTGTGTTTAACCCTTTTTCTTGTTTTTTGTCTATTTAGGAGTTGTTTTTAAATTAGTTCTGTAAAATGATGTTATACAACAGTTGTGCCATTTTTCCCTATATGAAATTTCTAGTCACTTGATATATAATATTTCTGTCAAATGATATTGAGTGCCCAAAAACTGTTCCTAAAACATGGTTCTAAATCAAACCGATGTAGCAAATTTAGATAAAGTGCTTCAAAATTTGCCAAAAGATATATACATCGGTAAGTTACTGGATCTTTGTTCACACAACGAGAGTATGGTTTGTTGGTACCGTTATATATTAAGCTCACGGGCCAAAGATCAACCAGACTATCCACCTGGAAAGCTAATAAACAGGAAGTCTACCAAGAGTAGTCCAAGTATTGAGAAATATGCTAGGGATTGTTTCACTCTACATATGTTCATTCACGGTGACAAATCTGGTATTGAAAATGTGTTTGACAGAAATAAAAGCTCAACATGTATTACCGATGTATCAAAAGTCAATTTGGTAGAGCTTAGAGTTCTTGTACAATCACTAACTCAACGAATGTCCGAACAAGAGGAAACCCTTTGTTCAAAGAATACTCACTGCATTCTGATCTTAGGACACTGCGTACAGAAAATGAACAGCTTCGATCAGAATTTGAATGCCTCAAAACAGAAGCAGCCACTAACTTAACGAAATATGATTTCTATCATAAGTTAACGACGATAACCTCAGACGCATTGAGGCAGAGCAGAATAACTTTCAGACTGTTCTATCAAAAACAAACACAGAGATCGAGCGGTTAGCGAAAGTAAGTCTTAACTTTCAAAAACAAGTCAACTCATTAACTCCGCAAAAGTCTTACGCAAACACTGTATCTGAGCATGTAATAATTACTCCGCCAGCACGGGCTCGCTCGTCTTCCCCAAGACAAGACAGTAATGCTGTTTCAAGACAGAAATTACAGACGTTTCCTGATAGAAACCCTCCGAGTGCCCCAGTGTGTTCGAAGAACACAAAAGGTAACGGTTCGTGTGACGTAAATACTGCATGTCTAGATATACTGTCCACTAAACCTATTAACGGTTCAATGGATAAACAGAGCGACTGCTCCAGTGTGTTGGATAAACCGCCATCAATTAAACAGAATGTTACAAAATCGAACATGAAACAAACGAACAAGCGACCATACAATTTCGGAGATGTTAGCATGCACTCAGTGAGTTTAAATGACAGCATTGATCTCCCTAAACAATCTGCTACAACACCCCCACATGATGTTTTTCGTGGCGTGAAATACAAGCGGAAAGCCAGATTTTATATATCGGGAATTGATAGAGAATCTACCCAACAAGGGATTCTAAATTACACTGAAAATAAAGGTGTGAAAATAACGCACATGGTTTTATTCAAACCACGCACTACCCGTTCACAATTGACCGCTAAGATCAACATTCCTTACGAACAAGCGTGTGTTGTTGAAGGTCATGACTTCTGGCCGAAGGGTGTATCTTGCCGTAGATGGTATAACAATAGAGACTGGGAGGCGCGATGTTCGGGTCAGGATCATGATGTAGACAACGGAGGACAGTACTCGCGCAGCCGAGAATGGTGGTCGGAATATGACAATGATGTGAATGACCGCCGAAAGTAGACTAATGTATCTCAAAGACACGCTCACTATTATGAATAGACTTACAATTTATTTTCTGAATTTAGTATTTTATTTTAACATGGTAGTTATTTTGTCATGGAATGTTAGGGAGTTATGTCCTCTACACTGTGTCTTTCGAACATGCTTGACCATACAAAGTGTGACTTTGCAATTATATCAGAGCATAAGCTTAAAGATAACTTTAATCCGTCAATGTATTTAGATTCTATACATAAAGATTATAAAAGCCTTGTCAAGGTAGACACGGACAGCTATGTAAACCCAAGACTGGCATCTAGCTCGCACTTTGTAGGTAGGGGTGGTGTTGCACTACTCATTAGAAATTCGCTTGAGTACTCTGTCAAAGAGGTAACATGTAATGATTCTAACCGTGTGGTTGAAGTTAAAGATAACTATGCCAATGTCATGTATATTTTTGGTGTATACTTACCCGCTGATGGTAATGTAGATTTATATAGGCATGAACTCAATGTGGTTGAAAGTCCGTACAATTATTATAGTTCATATGGCATTGTTGTGATTGCAGGTGATTTAAATAGTAGTTGTATTAGCCCCCTCAACACAAACCCTGTTAAGTCTCAGATCCTTTCCAATTTTGTTCAGAGATGTGACCTCTGCTTACCAGGGTCAGATTTCAATATAGAAGGTGAACAATTTACATTCATTCAAAAGTGTACAATGTTAGATTACATTTTCTTCAACAAATCCTTTATGGATAAATTAGTGTCTTATAAAATTTTTGAGGAAGGTAAAATCTGTAGCACCTCAGACCATTTACCAGTTCTTGCTGAACTAAGCTTCAAGTGCTCACACCATTATCTCATACACTCTAACTTTAAAGTAGCGGCATGGCATAAAGCAACGTCTGTTGCTATTGAGTCTTATAGGTCATATATGCAGCAAGATCTTCAGGATATACTCAAGCGTGATATCCAGTCTATCACCGACATTAACAACTTTTACTTTGATTTGTGTTCAATTCTGATAAACTCTGCTGAGCGCAATATACCCCAAGCTGGTTTTAATCCACATACAAGACCGGGATGGACCAAAGAGGTAAAAGAATCCCATGTGTTAGAAAGAAAAATGCGGCGTCTCTGGATTGATGAAGGGAGACCTAGGGGTATGGTTTATGAAACTTATCGAAACTACAAAAGAGCCAAAAGACAGTTCAGAAATGCACTAGATACAGAAAACGAGCGCTATATGAGTGGCGTATACCGTGATCTTGACGAAGCAGCCGACAGCGATATTCGCCTATTTTGGAAGTTGGTAAAAGGACAGAAATGCAGATCTTCCCGTACCTATCCTGAAATTCACGGAGAAAACGGAGTTACCTATAGCAATCCTTCTGGAGTCGCTGAAGCCTTTGCAATGCACTTTCAAAATATTTATACTCCTTCTGATGATTCATCATTTGACCAAGACTTCCATCGCCAAATTGAAGAGAAGTATGCAGACATTGAAAAGCTGTGTGATCATTATAGCGGCGACATTCCCGGTGGCCAAATTACTGTAACCGAGTTAACACCCATCATTCGCAAGCTGAAATACAGAAAAGCACCCGGTGCTGATCGAGTTACATATGAACACATTATTTTCGGTGGCGAATGTGCCCTTGCATGTACTGTAAAAATGTTTAATGCTATTGTGTTGCATGGGGTGATACCTTGTGCATGGAAACGGGGATTCATTGTGCCGCTATACAAGGGAGGGGATAAATTTAAAACTTCGTGCAATAGCTACAGACCAGTCGCTTTATTGTCGTGCTTTTTAAAGATTTTTGAAAGTATCATTCATACCCGCATTTCTGAACATGTATTAATTAATAAATCATTCCCAAATCCCCAACAGCAAGGTTTTCAACAGAAGCTAGGTTGTCTGACGGCATCCCTCAACTTACATGAAACTATTTTTCATAATTTAGAACAGGGTAGCAATGTTTATGTTAGTTTTTTGGATAGTACAAAAGCATTTGATACTGTATGGAGACATGCTCTTTTATTGAAATTGTATGAACTTGGTGTAACAGGAAAACTTTGGTCTATACAAAAGGACTGTCACATTGATACATCAAGTGCTATTATAGTTAATCAATCTCAGTCCAGGTGGTTTCCTGTCCAGCAGGGTGTCAGACAAGGCGGTGTCCTTTCTACATTCTTCTATCTTGTGTACATTAACGATTTGATTAATATTCTAGAACAATCATCCAACTACTCAGGCATTCTTAATATTTCATGTAGCTGTCCCTCACTGGCAGATGATCTAGCATGCATAGGACTTTCACCTGCATCCCTTCAAACAATGCTGAACATTTCATTCGAATATTCCAGGAGATGGCGATATACGTTCAATGCCCACAAATCCTGCATTCTGAGATTCCGCGCAAAAAATGTCAGAGTAGACTTCGACTATGTATGGTTATTAGGAAACGAAACCATTCCTTGTCTGGACAACTGCAATCATCTCGGTATTCTTATCAATGATAAGTACAATCTTTCAGATAGGATAATTTCTACATGTCGAAAGGGTAAAAACTCGTATTTCGCCCTTAATGATATTGGATCTCAGTACCTGAACCCTTTAACACTTTCTCATCTCTACAAATCAGTCGTCTTACCATCGGTACTCTACGGATGTGAATTATGGAATGACATGTCCTCAAATGATTTACATCGCTTGAATGTCTTCCAACAGCTAGTGGTCAAAAACGCCCAGAATCTACCTACCAGAACAAGGTCTGACATTTGTGAAAACCTTTTTGAAGTTCTTCCAATACAAGCCGAGATTGATACAAGGAAACTACTATTTTTTGGCCGTCTGTGTCGCCTGGAATACAAAACTCTGTCTAAGAAAATCTTCTTAACCAGGCTGTTTTCTTACTTGGAGGGGATCGCCCATAAGCAGCTAGGTTTTATTCCTGATATTTTGAGTCTTTTATGCATTTATAACCTTTGCGAATATGTGAGAGAGTGGCTTTCGCTCGGTTCATTTCCATCAAAGTCAGCCTGGAAACAAATTGTGAGATCTGCGACTTTTCGATACAATAAGCTCCGGAGAGACACACGTGTTTCAGGTGATCCAGGATTCATCCGTTTCCGGAAAATATTTCAGGATGGAAATCCGGCTTTATTCTGGCGACTGCCCAAAAACTGTTATGAGATTTCGTTATGCAAATTCATTTGCAAATTAGTCTCCGAATCTCCTCGAGAAACTACAGAAATTTGTCCCCTTTGTGGAACTCTTTATGTTGATCTCTTTAACCATGCGTCGTGTACTTGTCGTATCACATATGATATACGCAATCAATGGTGGGAGGATGTAATTAACTACTTTGACATCAACTTGTGTGCTGAACTGTGTGCCCTTACAGAAGATGAGCTGTACTTGATTCCACCTCCGAAACTTCCAGCTACGTAACTTTCGTCTCATTGCCGATTCTTGTGCTCTCTATAAGCGCAATCTTTCCGTACTGCAAATCTGTCAGTGAGGGATGCTTCCCACTCCTTTATATCTTTCTGTTTTCCTAATGTTCATCTATAGTTTTTTTTTTTTTTTTTTTTTTTTGATAACTCGCAAGGACATAGTGTATGAAGTAAGGTAATGACCACTATTTTGTGGTCACAAACTTTGTAAATATTTCTTTTTTCTATATATATGTTTACATGCAATTCACCTTTGTATGTGTACGAATTTCAATTCATGTAGTTATATGTTATATATACGATATTCTTTTTTGTGCATTTTGTACAGTATTCATTAATCACTGCAAAGTGGAAATAAAGTATGAATGAATGAATGTGCTCTGTGACCATTTCAATGATGGTAGTATCCTTTAATATTTTGTAAAAATACAAATTACTTTAAATGCAAGCTACATTGTCATTTTACAAAAAATTCCAAAACTAATTACATGCGCGGATCTAGAGGGGGGGGGGGGTCGGGGAACCGAACACCCCTGGAATTTGCAGTTACTAAAAGTATATACTGAAGCAAAAAAAAGACATTGGACCCCCCCCCCCTTCTTGAAATTACATGATAGAATAGGAGGAAATAAAATGATACAATTTTATTTCTCAAAGAAAACAAAAAGAAAAGATTAAGTAATAGTTTTCATCATTGCACATAATATCACATAATCCAAATATGAATTAGAGACCTCAACTCATTTAAACATTATATAATCAATACCATCAACTCGTAGTAGTACTTTCAGTACTTTGATTTTTCGTACGGGACCAGTGTTTGAAAATTTTCGTGGACCAACCTTACCCACGGATTTATATCCCAACGAACCAAACTTAAATGTCGTCATTCATTGAATCATACAAATATACGATTTACCCATGAAATTACGGTTGAGGCTATCTGGTACCGCTTGCAGGGTGGCTGGAAGGAGTTATCTCTCCATAAGTGCGTACGAGTTATCTCGCATTACAACGGTGATAACCATGAATTTATACCCTATTAAAAAGTTCCACATCAATCGTTTTCTAGAAAGGTTAATGTTTATTTGATATGTAAAAAAGTAATAATTAAGAGAGAGAAAGGGAAATAGAAATTTATGTTTTCTAATTGCTAACCTTAAAATCTTGCGAACTTGAGGGCGGAAAAGGGGAAGGGATGGGTCGTCACGTCGTCTCAATAATTCTAACATTAATGATTATAAAATGGAAACAACTTAGGTGTTTAACAGAGCTGCCTCCCCCCCCCCCCCCCCACACACACACACAAACATATGCATGACGAAGTTTATTTACTTAAATATTTTATTATTTTATTTATTTATTTATTTACAATGTATTTAATTCATATAATTTGGCTTCTAAAGGAATTTCTCTTTGGTTGTGTGCCCCCAAACTTTTTAATTACATGTAATATTGCCTAGAGAGCACAGTTCTGGATCAATGGAGAGCCGCGATTCCCAGACCAATAAATATCTAACCCCCCCCCCCCCCCCCATACACACACACATACAC